CTACAAACCCTCCCTCCCTTTTTTCCAGGCCTCTGTTCCGTGCCCCCGCCCCGGACTCCCCATCCCTGGACTCCCACTGGCTGCAGGATTTGTAGCCATTCTATTTCTGAACCGCATCCAGAGACCATCTGTACACGCTCATGCTCCACACACTGCATTTCCTCACCCTCGTGTCCCGCTCCGATACCAAATGGCAGGATTATTTAAGGTCAGTTGAAGGTAAGGAATCCCAACGGACCAGTGTTTATTCCACCTTAATCCCACATCCCATTGAGGACATCAGCTGGCAGCTCCTCCATGGAGCCATGAGCATGGGTGCGTACCTGGCACAGTTCACCCCCATCCCAGACGCCTGCCCCTTCTGCGGCGTGAGGGGAAACCTGGTGCATGAATATCTGGAATGCACCAGGTTGCAGCCCCTTTTCCAGCTCTTCCAGAACCTATTGCTGAGGGTCTGGCTGCACTTTTCCCCTCACCTTTTTATTTATGCACACCCCATCCATGGCCCCACAAAGTCACAAGACCTCCTCGTCAACCTCCTCTGGCTCTGGCAAAAGCCGCAATATATAATACCAGGGGGAGAATGCTGGATGAGGGGGTGCTCTGCAACTGTGGGGCCTACTTCCGTTCCACCCTTGTGTCACATATTGAGGCAGAGTTCCTCTAGGCAGTGTCCGCTGGCTCCATAAACAGCTTTGAGGAGCAGTGTCCCCATCCGGTTCCCTCGTTTTAAACCTTTGACCCGCACCACTTGACCCTGTTTTTCATCATTTGTCCCTTGTATTTAGTTGAGCCCTGGGCCCAGTTGTCCCTCCCGCAAGGCTGGGGGAGGGGCTTTTAGAAGTGGGTGGGCTGGCACCCGCCCACCCCCTTGGGTTCAAATAGTGACTTCACTGGGCTTACAGTCTGGCTCTCAGAGCTTAGTACTTGCACCCACACATAGCTGCTACTCATACTTAACTGTAGTGCAGCAGCCTTATGTTCCCTTTTGTGCAGTGAAAAAGGATTTACAGGATGAAATTGTAACTCATAAGGTGATAGACAAATAATGCCCAATGCCTGCCATTTCAGAGGAAGATGAAACTCACCAATAACACAACTTAGTCAGTATATGACATGACAGGGTGTGTCCTGCACTGAAGAATTTAAACTATAGCATTGCTATATATTTCTGTCTGTATTTTCTAGCTTGTATTAAAGTCAAGATTCTGTTTCAGTCTTTGATCTCCTCCTGCTGCAGTTGGCTGTCCACGGGAGAAAGCATTGTTTTAAATTTACATCCCCAGTGTATTGTCATCTGTTTACCTCCCTATATTACAGGATGATGGTATGAAGAGATGGGGCTGAACTCCTTTCACTGAACCAGTCATATTGTGAACTATTTAAACTAAAGCCCCTTCTTCTTCTGCACCGTTTCCTTCCACTTAATATAGCAACCCCGATACAATTAAAGACTATATGTGCAACCCCAGTTTCTAACCATCTCCAGTGTCTATCTCTTGTGTGTCATTTACACATTTCTAGTACAGGCTGTTTCAGCAGAGATGTGTTCTCATAATAATTATAATAATTTTACATGTATATAGTACCTCAGTCCTAATTATTAATTAGTATTATTAATCATATATATGACAGTAATATTTAAAGATCAATCAATAATGGTGCAAGGCACTGTATAAATACAGTGTAATGAATGGTCCCTGGCAGTGTGGAATTTACAATGGAAATAGATCAGACAGACACAGGATGGGAGAAGGGGTAGACCACACAAGCTGGTTGAAAAATATGAGGGCAACAAACACTTAAGGGCCACCTTTTTTGGAGAGTGTGGAGTGCGGATGGAAAGGAAAGTGCAGAGCGACAGGGCCGGGGAGAAGATGGTAAGAGGGTAGGGTTGCCAGGTGTTTAGTTTTGAATCAGACAGTCCAGTATTTGAGCTTTCTGTTCAGGAAACAAATTGAGAAAATATAAATGTCCAGTATTTTCTAAATAAGATGTAATGTAGATTGTGATGTAACGTCAAGTGTGTCTGGTATTTTTGTTGAAACCATCTGGCAACCCTATAAGGGGGCAGGGGCGGTGTAAAGCAGAGGTGAACAGACTGTGAGGGAGAGGATTATAGCAAGGAGACAATCTCCACAAGGCAGAGAAAGGCCACTCAAAACAAAGAAGTTAAATGTCTAAGGTCTCTGCTTTGGCTGCTGGCTGCTGGCTAGAGTCTACATGGCTCCATCCTCTCTGCAGTTACTTTTCCACCAAAGGTCACATGGGAGGGAAGGCACCACTTAAGTCCTAGTGCTGCCATAGTAAGTAGGGACGTACCAAATTCACAGCCATGAAAAATGTATCATGAACAGTGAAATCTGGTCTCCTGCTGTGAAATTTGGTCTTTTGTCTGCTTTTACCCTCTACTATAAAGATTTCACCATGGAGAGCAGTGTTTCTCAATTGGGAGTTCTGACTCAAAAGAGAGTTGTGGGAGAGAAGTTGTATGGTTATTTTACCAGGGTCATGGTATTTTCACCCTTACTTCTGTGCTGCCTTCAGAGCACCTCACTCTGAAAGCAGCTCCCTGCCAGCAGCAGCACAGAAGTAAGGGTGGCAGTTCATACCATGCCATCCTTGCACTGCCGCCCTCAGAGCTGGACAAGCTGGAGAGTAGCAACTACTGAGGGCTTCAGTTCTGCAGGCAGTGTTGCAGAACCAAGGGTGGCAACACCATTTTGTGACACTCCTGCACTGCTGCTGATGGTGGCTCTGCTTTTTCAGAGCTGGGCTCTTAGCACTGTAGCTGCCATGCTAACGGCAGCGCCACTGCCAACAGCAGTGCACAAGTAAACGTAGTAGCACCGCAACTTTGTGATCTCCCCCCAACTCCTTTATGAGCCAAGACCTCTACAATTACAACACCACGAAATTTCAGATTTAAATTGCTGAAATCATGAAAATTGCAATTTTTAACATCTCGGACCATGGGGCTGAACAAAATGGACAGTGAATTTATAATCAACACTGCATGAGCTGTACACACATTGCATTATTGAAGGTGGACGGTGTAGCCAAAGGCACATATCACTCCATATATGGCAGAGGCAAGGAGGGAGCAAATTTTAGCAACTCCATCAGTGGCTGGTTGCATCTATGCCATGTTGTAGCCCTTTTCTCTCCTGCCTGGCCATGCACTTGCCTGCCTGTGCCCATGCACGGTGACTTCCCTGCCCAAATGTTCCTTAGCTGAGTCACTTCCCGCCCAGTTTTGTCCCCTGGCCACTCCACTTGCCCACTATATCCTGAGTGGCTCTAGCTCTGCTCAGGCTCCTCCCTGCCTATTTCCTTACCGAGCTCTCGCCCCACCCACCTGCCCTGCGCAGTACGGCCCCTGGCAAGCTGTGGGTGGAGCTGAAGAAACTCGGCCCGTCCTGGGGCGTGTCCGAGCCGCGAGGGGGCGTGGCCAGAAGCCGTTGCTGTCTTGCGCGTGCGGATTAGGCCGCCGCCCTGTGGCCCACTCGGAGTGGGCGTGGCGGAGAACTAGCCCCTTTGGGCCGCCGTCGCGGCGCCCGGGCTGCTTTGCGGAAGTGCGGGGCGAGCGGCCGGTGGAAGATGGCGGGGGTAGAGAGCGGCTCCCGGGGCCCGGCGCTCC